AGAGTTTTGAAACTTTCTGCTTTAAATACTATTTAGTACTGAGAAAGCTCCTTACAAGTCAATTGTAATATAATCATAAATTAAAATTGTATAGATTGTGTTATGTTAAAATAATATGATTAAGGATAATACAAAGCCAGTGGCATCACAAATAGAATCAGCGTTTAAAATGGAGCATAATTAGATGCAATGGATTTAGCGGCAGAAATTCAAGGGAGATGCTCCTGAGGACAGAGTGGATGAGGGTAGAATAGAGAGGCAGGGTAAGGGAGGGCCAGACAGGAATGCAGGGGTGTGTTGTTTGTTGTGTTCCCTTACCAAGGAGGTGCATTCACTTTGGGCCCTTCACAGGTGATGCTTCTCAGTTCATAAAAAACGAGAGAGTGCAACAGAGGAGATTTGGTCTCTAACTGGCATGTATGCATGGAGCTGGGGATTTGTGGAGGACACCTAAGGGTTGGAGTCAACCCCATTTAGCACAGATATGAATCACCCAGGGTACAGGGCTGAGGAATGAGCCAGTGTTGTGTTCTTCATACTTGCTTGCTTTCAAAGCCAGCCTTGGATTCTAGTCCTTTTTAGGCCATTAAGTAGCCTGAATAGAAAGGCAGGGCAAGCAGCACGAGCCAAATTTGCATCTTGGGCAGAGACAGAATTCACATGTTCCTTCTTAAATTATCCCAGTTAAGTATTCTTGCAGTCCAAGTTAGAAGAAAAACTATGTGCTTAAGAAAAGAAACTTGAGGGCCTGGCAGGATAACCTAGTGGCTAAAGTGCTCACCTTGCATGTACCAGGATGTTATATGGGCACTGATTCGTATCCTGGCAGCTCCACTTCTCTTCCAGCTCCCTGCCTGAGGCCTGGGAAAGCAGTCAAGGGTGACCCAAAGCCTTAGGACCCTGTACCTGTATGGGAGATCCAGAAGAAGCTCCATGCTCCTGGTTTCAGATCAGTTCAGCTCTGGCTATTGCAGCCAATTGGGAAGTGAACCAGCAGATGTAAGATCTTTCTCTCTGTCTCTCCTCTCTGCAAATCTGACTTTCCAATACAAAATAAAAAAACACACAAATCTTAAAAAAAAAAAAGACAATTGAAATGAAGACTGTCCAGCCTTCAAGTAGGCTGAGCATTTATACTCATCACTGGGGAGAAAGGGTCTTACTACAGAGAGAGCAGTGGCCAACCTGGGACAGCTCCTGAATTACTTTATCACCTCCCTCAAATGGAAAAAAGCTATAAGAAAAGTCACAAGTGTTCAAAATTCTTCTTAATGTGAAGAAGAAAGTCTCCAAGTCTGGAGAAAGGTCACATTAATTTAAAATTAATATACCCAACATGTTCGCTTTGGGAATAGAGGATGAGTTGAGGAAGGCAATGGGTTAAAAAAGATCAACTAAACAGTGTTTTCAGTCAAATTGCTAAAACATTTGAAGTATGGGAATCATACATTTGCCCCTATTGTGTATGGACCCAGAATCAGGTACATTTTTCTTCATGAACTCACACAGTCACAGGATCAGCATCTCAGAGGATGTTCTGTCCTCAGGTAAGAGAACCCAGAAGGTGAGGAGAAAAGCACCCTTCAGAAGATCCCCTTTGGCTTGTGGTAATGCAGTGCCAGATTGCTGCTGGATGGTAGAATTAAACATCCCAGGGGCTCAGCTCATGGGCTGGTTGAAGAACTGATGAGGTCTCTGCTTCTTAGAGGCCATTCAGGCAATATGACTTCTCTACTGCAGATCTTGAAAGGTTGTGATTCCCCTGATCCGGTTTATAGAAGCACTGTCAAGGGATTTGAAGAAAACTAACCACCTCCTGAGAATTCTACCCTGGAACTTTTTCCCATATGAGAGCTATACTCCCTAGGTCCTCATTAATTTTTGCTTTGACAGCATGAGGAAATCATTTCTGCATGTCTAGAAAATGAGACTGATGATTTGTTTAGGTGTCCTCTATTTTCTGTGATTGGTTTCTTTGGAGGGATGTGGAAATCATATGCTTTACCCATATTACACAAACAGGTGCATTTAAAAGGTCCTGATTTTCAACAATTGAGCTAACCTCCTTTATGTGTCCCATCCTCTCTGGATAACAAGAGGGAAAAGTTCCCCCAAATTTAGGTTAGTTGAGTAAATATAGTTATGCTTATTTATTTATTTAATATTAATTGATTTATTAAATATTTATTTATTTACAGGTGAGAGTTACACAGAGAGAAAAGACTTTAAAATTTATCTGTTTTGAAAGTCGTAATTGAAAAGAGAGAGTAATAGAGAGAGACAGTCCATCCACTGGTTCCTTCCTCAGATGGTCACAATGACCAATTCTGGCCCATGCTGAAGCCAGAACAAGAAATTTCATCTGAGTCTCCCACATGGATGATGTGAGGCCAAACATTCAGGCCACTTTCTCAGGCTGTTAGCTGGGAGTTGATCAGCCAGGAGTTGGAGCAGCCAGGACATGAATCAACACATATGGGATACTTACCTGGTTTGCCACAGTGCATATTCTTCTTCTTCTTCTTCTTCTTTTTTTTTTTTTTTTAAGAATTTTTCAGCTCTTACTAGCATTCAACTAGCTGGAATCCAGCCAGTGCCTACTCCTGGCTTGCCTCTGGTCCAGAAGCCACTGCATGCTGTAGTGGTAACTGCCTTGACTTCAGCTGCAATACTGTCTGTCCCCAGGCCTCTCTGTCTTTCTGGGAAAGCATACAGGCACATCTGATTTCCTTATTTCCAATTTCTGGAAAACCAATTTTGTGTACTTATGTCCCTTTGTACCTTAAACTGACAGCCTCAGTTATCTTAAGGATTGACAGTCTCTCAAACTGTACCCACACTGCAATCCCTCTTGACTTTGATTTGCTACACTTTAGGTTTGGTTTCAAATTTGGAAAAACTCAAGCCGTGGTCTACAGCTGATCTTCCTTGCTCTCCCTCTGTTTCCGTTCCTTTCCTTTCACAATCCTCCAGGATTTGTAGGGACGGGATTTTTCTGTTTTCACTTGATTCTGTGCGGAGCCTTGGTAGATTCTATGCTCAAGCCCACCAAGACTTGGTTGATGTGTTGCAGCAGGAGATGAAATACCTCATTAACATATCCTGAGTTTTAATGCAGTTGTCTTGTTTGAAGACCTGAAAAGCTAATTTAGGCCACCAGCAGCTAAACAGGAATTCCTTCTGTCTTATTTATATCTAAGTAACATCTTTATCCTAATCCTTCTGGAAGTACCCTTCCAGTCTTCCCAGCATATGGATACTTCCAGTGTCTGGGGGAAATGTCCTGTTTGCAGATATGAAAACATAAGAGAACATCAGGATGTATACATGTGTTACTTGTTTTCAAAGATAAACAAAAGGTTAGAGGGATACAGGGCTGTTTCCTTCTATGTCTGGGATGAGTTTAAGCAATTGATGTCTCATGTTACCGTGTGAGATGAAACATGTGGCAGCTGTTGAGATTTCCCTGTAGTTGATATGAAAATATTCTTATTTCTCCACATACGCCTGCCCCATGGTCAATCCAAGGAGCCAAGGGTTTCTGGGTTCTTGGAGGTCAGTATAATTATTGCATTCTCTAGCAGAGAAAAAAATCTAAGAGCTTGGGTACAGAAGACTTGTGCTGTCAGGGTGGTGGTGTCAGGATGGTGTTTTACCCTGTCTGTCTCAGTGCCTGGGCTGGTTCCCTCCATGCTGTCACTTCCTGTGTTGCAGGCATAGGAAGGGAAACCTTTCTCCACTCACTGCCATGGCCATGGTCATGCTTCCTTGTCTCCACCACTGCGGCCTTGGCTGCCATTATCATAGCTCCTTGGTGACCTTCTCAGTTGGAGGCTCTCCAATCAGCCCTTATTACCCAAGAAAATTTATTTGATTTCCATTCCAGTCTCAAGCCAGCTTTTATCTTTCATTCTAGCATGATTGACTTTTCTTTTGGGAGAACAAAAGTAAATATATATCATGTTATACATAACATATCTTATGCTCACCACAGCATTGGCTGATTTTTTTGCCCTTTTAAGTACATATTCTAAGTTGCAAGCACATTCTGATACTAGTCAACCTTTTCATTTTTTAAACAAATTACACTTGTTCTCTTTTTAAACATTTTCTTTATTTGAAAGGCAGTCAAAGAGAAAAAGAGAGAGAGAGAGAGAGAGATCTTTCCACTGCTGGGTCACTCCCCAAGTGCTCACAAATGCTGTGGCTGGCTCAAGCCAAAGCCAGGAACCGTCCTTGTCTGACTGTTTCATCTGGGGGCAGTAATGGAGTCATCACTTCCAGCATCCCAGGGTCTGCATTAGCAAGAAGCTGGATAAGAAGCGGAGGTGCGGCTTCAGCTCAGACACTTTGATATGGGATGGGGCCAATGTGAAGGTTGGCCTACCCACTGTGCCACAACACTTGCCTCTGTGTTCAACTTTTGATGAGACATTTTATTACTTCGCAGAGTATTCAGAGGTGATAGATGAAATATACGCATTTATTTCTAAACAAAAGATGCAATACAATTTGAAAAAATGCAATAAGAAAGGGGTAGAGTTTAAAAGCTCAGAAGTTTCTCCCAGGGTTAAATTCAACTCACTTTAAATCAGTAACAGTTCATTGAACATTTACAATCTACCACAGTAACTGAAAAGAACAATAGAGATGGTGATGTAGGGGTCCCTGAGCCTGTTACTTTTTTTTTAGAGATTGGATTATTTAGTTGAAGGACAGAGTTACAGAGGAAGAGGTCTTCCATATGGTGATTTACTCCCTAGATGGCTACAATGGCTTGGGCTGAGCAGAAGCAACGAGTCAGGAACCAGGGGCTTCATCCAGGTCTCCCACGTGGGTGCAGGGGCCCAAGAGTTGGGCCATCTTCTGCTGTTTTCTGAGGCCATTAGCAGGGATCACCATCAGAGATGCAGCAGCCCGGATTCAAGTTTGTGTCCATAACTAATGCTGACCTTGCAGGTGGTGGCTTAATCCACTATGTCACAACATTGGGCCCTGCAGTTACTTCTCATTCACAGTTCCTCTACCTGCTGCCATCCTCCTCAGAGCAGACTTCACATCCTGGTTTCTCAGGGTATAGATGAGGGGGTTCAGTAAGGGAGTGACAACCGTGTAAAACACAGCCACTGCCCCATCCAGTGGACTCTTGGAACCAGCTCTGAGATAGATGAAGATACAGGGTACATAATAGACTGTGACCACAGTGAGGTGGGAGCCACAGGTGGAGAAGGCTCGGCGCCTCCCATCAGCAGTGCGTATCTTCAGGATGGCATGGACTATGTTGGCATAGGAGAGCAGAATGAGCATGAAGCAACTGGCAGCCACCACTCCAATGTCCACAAAAGTCACCAGCTCATTGACAGTTGTGTCAGCACAGGCTAGTCTCAACACAGCAGGAATGTCACAGATAAAATAGTCTATTTGATTGGGTCCACAATATGGCAGGCGGAAGGTCAGGGTGGCTTGGATTGAGCCATGAATGGAGCCAGCCACCCATGCTCCTGCCACAAGGATGCTGCACAACCTCCCATTCATGAGCACAGGGTAGCGCAGGGGTTGGCATATGGCCAGGTACCTGTCATAGGCCATCAAGGTGTAGAGGAAGCACTGGGTGCTTCCCAAGAAATGAAAGAAATAGAGTTGAGCCACACAGCCCCCAAATGGCACAGCCTTGCTGGCAGGAGTGAAATCCAAAATCATCCGAGGAACAATGACAGAGGAGAGCCACATGTCCAGGAAGGACAGCACGCCGAGCAGGATGTACATGGGGCGGGCATGGAGCTTGGGGTCAGCCCACACGGTGAGCAGAATGAGCAGGTTTCCCAACTGAGTGAGGATGTAGATGACGAGGAAGACCAGGAAGAGGAGAATTTTTAGTTTTGGTGGGTGAGCCAAGCCCAGGAGAATGAATTCTGTTACCATGTTGTCCAGTGATGTGTTTTTGGTCTTTCCCATGTCTTTCTGTGGACTGGGCAGAAAAGTGATGATATTAAAAAGGAGTTGACTCACTAAAGTTATGAGAATGCTTTCAGCTGACAACTGATACCTTGAAATAAAAGATGAATCGAATTGTTTGTAAGAATATTTTTAGATAAATGGGTGATGTCACAGTAGGTTACTTGATTTACTTGAATGTTTCCTAGGACTTGCTAGTTTTTTTGATGAATGGAAACTCCTGTCCAAGGGGAGACATGGACAGTAGGGTTTTCACATCATGGAACATGGGAATATGGAATGTCAGGGAAGGACCAATAACCACAGCCAAAAGGGGCAAGTGGTGAAGGCGACTCAAGCAGCAGAGAAGCATGGAAAAGTACCTGACAGTCACTATTTCCAGTTTCCCTGCACTGTTGTCATTACAACACTTCCTCTTTGACCTCAGCTAAAATCCCATGTGTTCACTGTAGCACGTGACATAGTCATCACCTGGATCTTATTTTGCATCTCATTGCACTCTTTGCATTGCTTCAAATTGTTTATGTTCAGATGCCTGGGCCTGCTCTAGGCTCTCCCAGTGCACACTCTAACTTAGAACCTGCTCTATGCCTTTTTTCCCCACCTCTCCCTACATTTGAACAGTGCTCACTTTCCTCCAGGACCCAGTGTGAGGGCCTTCACTTTCAGGAAGTGTTCCCTGTTTCCTAAGGACTGTGCTTCTACTTTTCAGACCACTCTTGTATTATGTTGTATTATGTTGCCCTTGTCTGCTTTCTTGTCTCTCCCATTAGTCATCCCAACTAGCAAGTAAACGTAATAAGTAACCATTTGCTGAATGGCTGATTGAATGGATGTTGCTAAATCCTACTGATCCGATGGAATGTTTCTCTTATCTTGTTTCTCTTGTATCCCTCTGGTTGATTTAGAACAGGGACCATCTCATTAATCATACATACGGATCTAGTTTTGTCATTACAAACTTCATGCCCACCCATGCAACACTTGATTTATTGATTTATATGGTGCATTGTTTTCAGGTGGAAATTTTTTGGTGTGGTATAATAGGATTTTTAAAAAAGATTTTTTTTTAATTGCAAAGTCAGATATACAGAGAGGAGGAGAGAAAGAGAGGAAGATCTTCCATTTATTGATTCATTCCCCAAATGGCCTCAATGGCCGGAACTGAGTTGATCCAAAGCTAGGAGCCGGGAGCCTCTTTCGGGTCTCCCACATGGATGCACAGTCTTAAGGCTTTGGGCCATTCTCAACTGCTTTCCCAGGCCATGACCTGGAAGCTAGATGGGAAACAGGCTGCTGGAATTACAACCAGTGCCCATATGTTACCCGTGTGTGTGCAAATCGAGGACTTTAGCCACTAGGCTACCATGCTGGGCCCATAACAGGAATTTTTTTATTGTTTATTATTACAGCATTGATTAATAGAGAATTGTATCGTTAAGGTGCTTATGTTTAATATATATTTCTGCCTATTGAACAACAACTCTGTCTATGGACTTTAAAGATTTTTAGATTCCTGAACTAGAAAAACGAAGGGAAGAAATGTATTTGGTTTATTCCTGTTGTTGAATAGATGATGAAAATTTCCCTTCACCCTATAGTGAGTTGCTTTCATTTGCCACTTAACTGTTAAGTACAGAAATAATTTAAAATACTACTGGAAAGAAATCGTTAAAACGATAGTCAAGTCATTACAAATAGCAAGTATTAATATGTTTAAGTTTGTAATCTCTATCAGAAATTCCCTGGAGACTTTACCCTGATTACTCTGTAAGACAATTCGATTCATATGTTAATGATAAAGAGCTAATAAAATGATAATAATAATAATAATGAATAGACCTGGATCTTTAGGCTTGGTAGAAAGTGTTCAACATGTCCTGTGTCAATAAGGAAAGGAGACCAGATTTTCACTGTGTGAGCTTCAGACGGGCACCGAGTTTATTTGAATGTCGCTGGGAAGACTCTTTCTTGTGTCTGTGCCTGGAACATAGAGAAAAGAAACAGTTTGGCCTAAAATTATGCGTTGAATATAAGTTATTGCTTCATCAATACAGATATAGAATACCAGTATGAATCTTAGCAAAGCGACAGAGTCATGAAATACCTTATGAAAATGATTTTTTGTACGTTAGGCAGACAGAGCTGTATTACTCGGCAATTCTTTAGGGGAGTTCCAGAATACGTATCTATGTATCATGAAAAGTGCTGTGTAGGGCCCTGTGCGATGGTGCAGTGGTTAAGGTCCTTGCCTTGCACGCCCGGGATCCCATATGGGCGCTGGTTCTAATCCCGGCAGCCCCGCTTCCCATCCAGCTCCCTGCCTGTGGCCTGGGAAGGCAGTCGAGGACGGCCCAAAGCTTTGGGAACCTGCACCCATGTGGGAGACCCGGAAGAAGCTCCTGGATTTGGGTTTGCTCAGCTCCAGCCCTTGTGGACTCCTGGGGAGTGAATCATTGGATGGAGGATCCTCTCTGTCTCTCCTCTCTGTACATCCGCCTTTCAAATAAAATAAATATTGAAAAAAAATAAAAAAAGAAAAGTGCTGTCTAATTTATTTGTTTTGCCAGTCTGGTTTTCCCCTTTCTGTTTTGTTTAAGTCTGGTTCCATTCTCCCTAGGCATTCTGTAGGAAGAAAGCTCTTTTACCACTCTCGGTTTTGAGTGATCTGCTTGACAAGACCACATCAATCCAAGGTGGGTTTTACTGGTAGATTTGAGGATGGGTTATTTTCCCAGGCAGATTTGGCAAAGAATGATGCTTTAATAACTTGGAGTGTAGTGTGAAGGGGTTGTGGAGGAGGTCCACCTAGATTTTTAAAGCTGGATTTTGTTGTTGTTGTTGAGAAACAGAGAGTAGTGCTTGATGAGAGAGAGAGAAGTCTGAGCTCAGATGAGGAGAAACAAAATAAACCACTCTTGAGCGCTTGCCCCACCCTTGTCCCTCATCCTTTGGCTTCTCTTGTCATTTCATTTCAAAACCTCAAAAGCAGCTTTGGCATATTTACCTCGGCTGATTAGATCACCTAAATGTCCTAAAAGTTCCCTTGGCATAAACTGCTCTAATGTTTCTCTGTATTTGACGTTACTAAAATCATCTTGTACAATGATCAGAGATTACATGATTGAAGCATAGAAAAACAACAGGAGTTAAAATTAAAGATCTAAAGCATCTGAAAATGAGAGTTCTATGACATCAGGGAATAAGCACTGCATGTTTAAGAAAGTAGTTAACCTGGGCTCTCTAAGAAGTAGCTAAGGGGCTGGGCTAAAGGGATGGCACTCAGAAGGTCAAGGTAAGTGGGACAAGAACACCTTCCTGGGACTCTACAGAGCGATGGGCTCCCAGGCTGAGCTGTTCTCTTTGGAAGCCTCCCTTCACAAATCAGGCTGGTTTGATGTGAGCACCTTTCTTCCAGTGCATTTTCACTTAGAGAATTCCAGGGGAACACAAACTGTATTGAGCAATTTGGAGCTTTGTTTGGATTTCTACTATGTTCTTTGGGATGCAGGCTCTAGGGAACAGTTACTGAAATCCTGAAGGTGAGGACTGGAGATTGGTTTGGTGCTGGCCTGGACAAGGTAGGATGAGAAGACTCCTTGCCCTTGTGTCAAAACCCAACCCAAATCTGTTTCCAAAAGCTTTGTCTCTATCTTCATTTATTTGGAGTTAGACCTACTAGCAGAACCATGGCAGAATAGTGAGTAGAATCTGAGATGGCCCAGACGTATTCTAATCCAAAGGGTAGATTCTTGTCTCTCTAGCAAGGTGAAGTCAATTGAGCTTGTTTTGGGAAAGGTACTTGGGCCCCCTTCTCTGGAGTACACATCTGGTCTCTGTGTTTGCACAACCACCAAGGGATCTTCCTTATGACCCCAACTCTGCCCAGTAGCATTTCCCTAATGAAAAGAGGTAAGAAAAAGAAATTAGCCATAGGTAGTTCTTTTGGTGTTGTTTTCTCCACACACACACACACACACACACACACACACACACACACACACACACCCCTCCAGAAGTTTGGAAAGAAGAAAGTTCATCCTAGTAGTTGGAGAAAGAGTGGAAGAACAACATGGAGAGAAGAGATTACTGAACAGCAGAGTCTTTTCTATCCTTTTGTACTTACGGAGCTGCTAAGCCGCGGAGGAGGCTGGCTGGTCTGACCAGAGTGATCCCGTGTGTTGTGAGGTATTTCTGCAGTCTGCTCCCTGAGGGCTCTGGGGCTGGTTTGGAGCATGAGTGTTCAGCTTCCCTAAGAGCATCAGCCTTACAGGACTCCTTGATAGGCGTATCTGTATATTTGGAGTCATGTTCGACACTGTTTTTTTTTTTTTTAAATCAGTTATTGCCTCTAAGCCTCTGATCAGAAGAAAATACATGTCATCAAGAGATTTGAAGAAAAATGCTAACCTCATGGGAAATCCTACTCTGAAGTGTTTTCCCAATGAGGCCTTCCCTCCCCCGATCCTCATTAGTTTGTTTTGAGAGAGAACAGGAAACATTCCTAGAAAGTCCCAGGAACAGAGCTTGTGGGGACTGTCTCCTTAGTGTGGTCTGGGTGACCTCTGTCTCTTAGCATGCCTGTGGGATTGCAGCTGTGCTCATTTCCCTTAGAGTTCTCCCATGAGTCCTTGACTTATGCTCAGGAATCACCTACTTGGTGAAGGTTCCTCCTTCCCTGGCCCCATCTGACTTTTCTCAGGAGTGCTTAACACCATCTGACTTGCTACATTTACTTGTGTATAGTTTGTCTCCCTTCACCAGAAGGTTGGTTCCAGGAGAGGAGGGAGTTTTGCTACTTAAGGACTCCCCAGCACAGTGCTCGGCACATCGTAGGCTCTCAATAAATGTTTTTACATCAATTAATTGGGAAAGTTGTTACAGAAATTGGATGTAGTGGAGAGACCAAAAAGAGGGTGGTCCCAATATGAAACTCAGAGTGGTCATTTGGTCTAGTGGTTGAGACTCCACTGGAACCACAAAAGTGGTTCACATGTGTCCCACTTTGGAGTGCCTGGGTTCAGTCCCCAGC